GTCAGTAGGGTGAATTGACGGCCGTAAAGCATTTTATGAAACTTCTTAACGGCAAACACGATCGCCAAGGCTTCCTTTTCTATCTGACTGTAGTTGCGCTCGGCTGAAGTCAGGGATCTGGCCGCATGTGCAATGGCTTTCTGGCTGCTATCTGGAAATACGTGTGAAATCACTGCGCCAATTCCATAGTTCGAGGCGTCCGACGCCACAACAACTTGTTTCAAATATCGTGAAGTATGTTCATCAGACTGTTTACGAGTACCTCGAACTTGCCGGCCGACTCAAATATGTCAAAATTCCATTGCAAACTGGACAAAATTACAAAAGGACCAATATCTTGGTCAACATCACTTAACCCCCATCATCCCCTGGGTCACCACATGATTCAGCAGCCCACCCCCTACGGTTTGTTCGAGTGACAAGGGCAACGGAGACTTACGTCGGACATCGGGCCTAAAGCCGCCCCCGCCCTGAAGTTGTCACCCTATCGTGGTGATCGAGTTTCCGTGCCGCAATAGTCCTGCAACATTCACCATCGTGCGAAAACCGCTGGGAATAAGCCTAATGGCCAAAGCTTCGAAAACACTCGCTGTTTCTATCCTAGGCAGGTTAATGCGCTAAGGGGAGTCAGATTCGGCAGCGCTGAGTTTCACCCCGACTGGGGCTGCATATGTGCCGGCAGGGCACCGCTGCTTCTGAGGACGAACAATACCAACTTTTCTCAACCTGATAGCTGATTAAAACTCCGCTGATAATCAAAAGCTACGGTAGCGCCCCTTGGTAATTACCATGTGTCACCTCATGTAGAAGCGTAGCCGTGTACTCCCACCTGAGTATGACGCTGCCATTTGGTTTACGCTTTACACCTTTAATACACCAGTATTACTAAAACACTGAGTGGGACAAAACCAGAAGCTCATGCTTGAAGATAATTCGATCGATGTAGTAAATAATTTCGTCTGCCCGAGTAGCTGCATAAGACCCGGCAGATTAAAAGAAGCATCACGGAAGATGGGAAAGCCAGTACTGCTTGCCAACCTTCGGTAGCCGCGGTGCCCACGTGACATCGGTTTGGATGCCAAGGGTAGAGTTGTGGTTCAATCTGTCCAACTTCGCGGGTTAGAGAAGTGGCAGCTGCGCGCAGATTTCATAGGTTTTGTGTTCCACCATCGGTGCCTTCAAAGTACTGGGCGGTATTGGGGAAAACACCAGGTAAATAAAGCTGAGGTACGCCAGATGGCTTCAGGCGAGGTAGCTCCTCCTCGACAGAACAGCTAGCCGCACTCCATAGGTTGAGCTGGTTTGGCATTCATCAGCTCACAAACCGTTCACCGAGCGAGATGGATTAGTGGTTAGAGCGCGAATTTAATGACCGGACAGTTCGTGGTTCGAACCCGACCTTCGCCTCTCGACTTCCCCTGTCTAGGCTTGGGCCACCTGGCAGTATCCCAGCTCTCGTGCATCCTTCCGGTGGGATGGCAGCTAGGCACCGAAAAGGTGCGGTAGATGAACGATTTTCTTCATCGAACTGCAGTGGTTCCAGCTGCTACAACTTCGTTCACGAAGAATGAGAGAATCACATCTAAACCTTTGAGGCAATGGTCCAATATCAAAGGCAGCGACAGCTATGGAGTGATTATACCCTGATGCAAGACCGCCATTAGCTGTATGACAGCCATATTTTTCTGTCATCAACTATTAGTTTGTCCAGTCCAGGAGTTCCCAGCCAGAGGCAGCAGTTGTCAACGTGACTGAGTTGACTTGCCAATGCTCTCATACTTCAGTGCAATCATGTACCTGGAACTGATGGAACCTCTCATTGGATTATACGTGGCTCGCCCTTCACTGACAGGCGAAGTACATGACCCTCACCAGCACTACTGGCCCGACCTTCCCACAAACACAACATCTGCAAGTCTTCCGCATATCAAGGCCACGTATCTCACCCGTTAATTCGATGGGGGGATGCACTGCGGCAGTAGATACTCTACCGCCTGATTTGGCTTGGTGGGTCATTATCTCCGCCGACAGAATATCAGTGTTCCGCTGCCGTGCAACAATAACCGGTATGAATAAAAGGAAAAGGGCGTGAAGCCATCCTAAAGTGCTCGCACCCCTAGACTACCGCGATTGAAAGTGACAACATCACTGGCATCGATTAGTGGATCACATAACCGTTTAGGTGTAAAACCCGTTCAGTGCCTAGCTGCCATGCCACCCGAAAGAAGCACAAGGGCTAAGACACTGCCACTACGGCAGTAAGGCATCGGTGTCATGCTGTCGATGATGATGACACTACCGGAGCCCAAAACAAGCCGAGGGATACAAGCCAGTGTTACCATCAGAAGAAGACTGCTCAACCCTTGTACAACCATACCCTTGTCATTCGCCTTCTTAAATAGCACGTCCATTCGATCCACGAGGTAGATTTGTTTCTTTCCTCCCATACAGCAACACGACTCAGTTTTAATTTACAAGTCTGATGTACTTGAAACAGGGGTGGAGACCCTCGGGATCTGGAGCACTGCTTCTCATTTCAAACCTGTGAATTCCACTAAGCCTACATCCTTCATTCCCGTAATAGATTAAATATTAGGTTGGTGCAATTTGACTGCTACAAACCCCCAATGCTAAACTCCGGTGATCATGAAGTTAAACGTTTTGCTTAGAATCCTGGAGCCGATGTGGGAAGGCACGAGGAACTTCCGGAGTACTCAACGGTGAACTTGTTATATATGCAACCGGGGCGTGAGGGAAGGAAATACTAAGCGCAACTCTGGATTGCCTTGGCTGGGAAGCGAACCCCAGTACCGTTTTCTAAAATTCATCATCATCATCATCGACAGCATGACATGACATTTCAACACCGATGCTTCACTGCCGTACAACCATGACTTATTTGAAAGCCTTATTGCGAAGAAAAGAATAAAGGTGGATGGGGGAGGGACTTAGTGTTAGCTTAACACAATCATTCCGAGGTGCCTACACTTCCAGACATTCACTCAGGCAGTCTGTACAGAAACTGACAACAAGAACGCCACTGACATCGGTTGGCAGCCATATCTTGTAGTGTCTCCAACCAGGCACAGGTCCCCATCCTGGAAGGCGAGAAGCACCGACAGCACTCAAGCGTTTCGTGATCTCCCTCATACTCCTCTGCCAAGTCAAGGGTTGTTCACCTCTCTGTTTACGCCACTCTGGGTTGGGCATGGAAAACAGCACTCTCTTCGGCAAGTGATGGTTCGACATACGCAACACATGTCCCAACCAACGCAGCTTCTGGTGCTG